TGAAAATTTAAATGAAACTTTAGTGTGAAGGTCTGTAAAAATTAAACTTTTGATAGACCACAATATCTAATAATACTTTTAATGATGTCATGAAGTCATAGATAATCTTTAGATGTGTACATAAAATAAACATTTGAGTAAATGTTTATTTTTGATACACCTTAATCTTAACAGAACTTAGCAACAAACTCAACATTAAACAAATTTTTATTGCAAGACAAATGTAGATTGGTCCAATGTATGTATTATGAAAATAAAATAAATGGAAATAACAATTCAATGCTAAAATTATATTTAAAATTTTAATTTTGTCAAATATTTCTCAAACTGTTCATTTGATAATACCTTTGTGTCTACAAAGGTGTTTGTGAATTCAGTTATATGTGAAATATGAATGATGTTTCTTTTGACTGTATCAAATTTCATTGAGAGTTATTAAAATATTTTCTAATTTAGAGTTATATAACTTTAAATTAATTCATCTGTACAGAATGTCACCTAGAATCTAGAAACTTTGTCAAGCAGCTTGATTTAAAATAAAAGGTGTAGAAGATTCTGAAAACAAAATGAATACAGCTAATTAAAATTTGATTTAATAAACCAGACATGTTGCTCATTTAGAACTTTTTATACTGCTTGTTAATCAGATTAATTATCTACGAGCATTTTTCTTTGGATTTGATTTCATCCTTTGTCATTGTAAAGAGAATGTTCTAAGGATTATGTGAATAAACATCACAATACAAATTGCTTGAGATTTAGAGAGATTTTGTTTGATGTCATAATGGGCTAAATATCTTGTATGAGGTTCCAAGACAAGCACTGATTTCCCTGCCTTTATTCTTAATCTACAAATTGTTTTGAATCACTGACTGACTGCTATAGAAACAAGACTCAAGATAAAGCCTTTTCTCAAGAGTTATCTTGTCAGATGTTGCAAACTGATTAACAAAGCCCACTACAATTTCTTGTTTGTTAATCAAATAGTGTTTGCCTCAAACAAATTTAAGTGTTAAATATTATTGGAAAAAAAAAGGTCATTAAATATTGAGAGCTAAATAAGTGATAAACCATCAAATAAATAGAATATAACTGGAGTTTTTTTATAAAGTATATTTTAAATTTCATACATTTTTGATATCAACAGCTTTCTAAGTACTTTATCTATTAGCATTGTATTTAAGACTTAATTGATCTTTTCCCAAGAAGCTAAATTTCAAGATATTTAACTAAGTTTTCTTTTAGAGGAAAAAGGATTTTTACTTTAGTTGTGTGTTGTTAATTAACTTATTGGAAGATGAGTTGTTATTATCATTATAGTGTTATCCATTCAGCATTTAAGCCAGAATTTTCTGCATTGTTTTCAAAATTCTATTTGAAGTTTTAAATGTGTAGTCTAGAGCAGTGATACTCAAAGTGTGGTATGTGTACCAGAGTTGGTATGTAAGCTATTGTCTGCCGGGATGCAGAGAGTTTCCAAGAAAACAAAGAAACAGTAGTCACATTCCATGCCATGAGAGACTGCCAAGATATCTGACCCAGTTTTTTTTCAACATTTTCATTTTAGTTTTATATCTATTGTGGCTACATTTTTCAATTACTCATTCATGTTAATTTTGTTGCTATACAACTCACAAATGTGTTATAATGAATAGCAAAACAGTGAAATAAAATATAACGACACTACCATGATGGGGCATGTGACTATGAGACCGACCCCTAGGAATACCAAAAGGACATTTTCATGGACATATATTTTGAATTGGGCCTTTAAGGAATATCTATGTGGGTTTTGGCTATTTTGTAAAAAAATAGCATTTAATAATAATTTCATAATCCATCAGATTTTCTGTAAGTCTGTAACAACATAGCTGCATGCATGTCTAGCATGTAGGGTCAGAAGAAGTAGCCCAAATATAGCACCAATCCCTGGCACACTAGAAAGACTTGTTAAATCAATGATAACTGGCTTTAGAATGAACAACATATCATGTTCTCATGTTTAGTACAGATAGTCTCAACATGATCCTTAAATAGGATGTATCTAAAAAAAAAAAAAAAAACTTGTGGGGAGTACAGTGCCCCCATAATATAGCTGGATTGGAAAGCTTTGCCCACTAGTCTCTTGCACATTGAAAAAAAAAAAAAATACCTGCCAGTATGCCACATCAGATAGTTTGAGAACGACTGGTCTAGTTTCTCAAGCGTATTCAAAATTTGCTCCAATTCGGATTTTTAAATACTTTATCTGTTAGCATTGTGTTTAAAAATTACTTTGATCAAGAAATTAAATTTCTTGTTTTATATACAATGTTCTTTCATGACACAGGCTCTCCACAACTATCTTTTTTTGTTAATCTAAATAACTTCTGTCCTTTTAACATCCTTCTTTATCCTTGTTCTTCCATTCATTCACACAAACTTGTTAAGTAGGTTTCCTGCTGCTTTTTTTTTCCACCTTCAATATGTCCTTTGAGTGTTAAATTCTCTAAGCACTCTTTCCTCATTAAGTGTTACAGAAATTTCATCAGTCTCTTTCTTAATGTATTTCTTGTTTTCCTTGAATCTTCCTTGTTATTTGTTTGATCGTCTGTGGTATTCATAGTATTTATCAGTAGAACCAAGTCTTTGTCACTTTGTCATCTTTGATGACATTGTCCAGCATTGATATCTGTATTGGAGATAAGATATTACATATAACATATTCAACATATATTTTTTGTTGCTAAAAATATTTTCCTATGTCCTGATACTTTGTTCAGTTTCTGGAAGATATATTTTGCCATTCCTATGCATGTTCTGATAAATAGATATTTTCTTAGAGGAAAAGAAAAATTTTTCTATTTTAACTCATTGGAGTGTTATCCCTTCAGAATATAAGTGAGAATGTTCTGTACTGTTTTAAAAATTCTATTCATTTCAAGGTTTAAGCATGTAGCCTAGAGCAGCAGTTTGTGAAAAATTGAATGTTGCCATGTTGTCCAAGATAACTCTGGCTACAAACAAACTGAAAATGATAAGTGCAGCGCAAGTCAAAAATTATCTGATAGAATTCAGAGGAATAATATCTACTGTGAGTGAGAGTAAAAGTCTTTGAAAGAAATCTATGAGCCGTTTTGGGGCTATGGGGACTTTTGCCCATATCTAATCTTTTGAAGGCTGGTAAACTGCTCCAAGTGGAGTGATTAAGATTGGAACAAAACTCCAATGAAGAATCATTGGTTTAAAGTGAAAGACTAATAGTGGAAGAGATTCCTTCAGAGAGTCATTTTACTCAAGGACGTCCATTGTTGTGGAATGATTACGAACATGAGCTGATCAACATTTTTGAGAAGATATCCGGCCACATTGTTCTTAGCTTGTGTAGGTGTGTGATATTATATTATTAGGTAGGTGTGTGATATTATGTTATACATTGATCCTTTAAGAGTTCAATAACGGTTTCTATGCATAAAGGAATCATGAAAGAAAAAAGCAGGACAGTCACTGAAGTGCAATGAAAAGAAATAAATGGATTTTAATGATAGACATATATTCAAGAGGGTTTCATTATTTATGTTTTTAGTATAAGGCCTTCATATAAATATTGACTTGCACTGCACTTATCATTTTCGGTTTGTTTGTAGCCAGAGTTATCTTGGACAACATGGCAATGAAAAGAAATAAATGGAATTTAATGATAAACATATATTCAAGAGGGTTTCATTATTTATGTTTTTAGTATAAAGCCTTCCTAAAAAGGTTTTCATCACATTCTGTGAGAACATTTTCTTTAGAGAAAATAGAAGATACACGGAGATAGGTATAATATAGATAATATAAGTTTATATTATGCCATACATTTTATACATATAAATAATTATTATTTCATATATATAATTATTTATTTTATACATATAAATAATTATTTATATTATGCCATACATTTTATACATATAGGTCATAAGTTTTAGACTTGCTAAAATGGTATCAAAATACAAGAAATTTATTTCTCTTCAAAATTATGTTTCATTGAAAAGAAATTTCTTCTTTTATGCACCAACTACATTGAATCAATAGCTACATCTACTGCAAGGAAAGTTAGTTTTCTGTGTCATGCCAGAAGGTTTTTCTCATCTGAGTCCATCCTTCAAATCTACCATTCGTCTTGCATAAAGTATTGTTGCCATATATGGTCTGGTGCCCCCATCCTCACTGTTCATCTCGAGGTTCTCAACAAAATCCAAAGATGTATATGCAATGTGATAGGTCCTGACCTGGCATCCTGACTCCAGTCACTTTCTCATAGACATGATGTGGCTTCTCTCTGTCTTTTCTATAAATATCTTCATGTCAACTGCATGAATTTAAGTGTGCTACTAGGTTGGCATCTTGGTCCTACCCTTTTACTGTCGAAACAGTTAAATGTAACCACCTCTTCTACTCCAACAGCTTCTTCTCTCACACTTTGGACAGTCATACTCCCTTCCTCTTACTTGCTTCCTTGATAACTATAGTCTTCAAGAATTTAAATGTAATATCAATTGACATCTCTTGATGCCTTGATCTTGATCCCTGTACTCTATATCCTTTCCTCAAACACCCATTTTTACTCTAACTTTCACTCTCTCTAACCCCTTGTATACTAGTGGCACTACTGTCTTACTTTGGGTGAAATGCTTACTAAAAAAAAAAAACCCAAAAAACAATCATATCTCTTCATGAATTCCTGTCTTTTATTACTCTAAATAACTTCTGACCCTTTACCATCCCTCCTGTCTTTGTTTTGCTATCCATCTACTCAAACTTCTTATGTTAGCCATTTACTGATTCTTCCTGCTTCTCTTGCCTTTAATATATTATAGGAGTATGAAATTCTTTAGGCACTTTCTAATTGCAGAGAATAAGTTTTAGACTCACTAGAAGAATGAAACTGGTGTCAGAATGAAAGAAATTTATTTCTCTTCAAAATTACCAAGGTTGATTTGTTTTCAATCACATGGAACCAAATTTATAGCAGATCAAAGAAAGTTAGCAAGAAAAGAGAAGAGGATGTCGAATGATAGAAGATGAGAGTGATATAAAGAAAGATATACATTTTTAAGTGAGAGAGAGAAGAGGAGAGAAATGTAATGAACAGCTGAAAATATTAAAGAGAGATGGGACATAATATTTCTAGGAGAAGTTCCAAGAGTAGTCCCTGTGAATTGTCATGGTATTCCAAGAGAAAGTTCCAAAGGTAATCCAAGGGAAGTTCCAAGGATATGTCAGAAAACAAGATATTTTATTCTCAGAAATGCTTCTCAAGAAACTGAATACTTGAAGGGATATGAAATAATATTCCAAGAGGAAATTCCAAGTGTATTCCAAGGGTACTCCAAAAGATAGGACATTGTATTTCCAAGGGAGGTTCCAACGGTATTCCATGAGATGGGAAATGGTATTCCAAGAGGAAATTCCAAGAGTATTCCAAGGGATGAGATATGGTATTCCAAGGGGAATTTCCAAAAGCATTCCAAGGGATGGGATATTGTATTCCAAAGGAAGTTCCAAGAGTATTCCAAGAGATGGGATATTGTATTCCCAAGGAAAGGAACGTAAAAGACAGAGAGATGAAGAGATGTCAGAAAGAGAAAGGGAAGAGAACAGAGAGATTAATGAGATAAGTTGTGACAAGTGAGAGAGAAAGAAGAAATATACACATGGCTGCTTTGCCATAGAGCAATGATTACAATATTGTTTCACAGACAATTAATACTGTGACCCACACTTGTAGCCATGTGCTAGACATACTTAGAATCAGAAGAAGACGGTTAAAATTTCTGGGACACATAGTTGACTTGGAGAATTCAACACACACAGGCCATATTAAAGGCAAGGAAAGCAAAAGGAAGCATCAACTAGCCTACCTAATGAGCTTGCATAAATGGATGGCAAACTATGGAGTGGGAGGGATGGTAAAAATGACAAATATTATTAAGAGCTACAAAGGATAGGAAATTGTAGAGATATAGAGAGAAAGAAAAGGAGTAAGATATAAAGAGAGAAAGAAAAGGAGTTAGATATAAAGAGAGAAAGAAAAGGAGTAAGATATAAAGGAAAGAAAGAAAAGGTAAGAGATTTAGTGGGAAAGAAAAGGAGTAAGAGAGGCAGAAAAGGAGTGAGACAGAAAGGGAATAAGTGAGACAGAAATAAAATGAGAAAGAGATAAAGAGAGAAAAAAGGAATAAGAGATAGAGAAAAAGAGAAAGAGATAGAGAAAAAGAGATACAGAGAGGATGAAAAGAATTAGAGATACAGAGAGAAGAAAAAGGAGTAATAAATACAGTGAGAAGGAAAAGGAGTAATAAATACAGTGAGAAGGAAAAGGAATAATAAATACAGTGAAAGAAAGAAAAGGAGTAAGAGGTAGAGAGAGAAAGAAAAGGTGTCAGAGACGCAGAAAGTACAGCTTTTGAACCAAGAAGGATAATAAAATAGAGAAAGAAAAAGTAAGGCAATTAGAGATAATTTAAACTGTGAGAGGACAAAAGAAAAAGATATTTTTTGTATCTCTCCAACTACATATACTTCTCTCTCTATCATATATATATAAGTATACTAATGGAGAAAAAGAGAGAGATAAAAGAGAGAAGCAAAAATAGATTGAAGACAAAGAGGGAAAGAATTTGCCACATGAAAAATGAATTTTTTTAATCTTAAAAAATATATATAAATAAAGCAAATATTGCTTCTGAACTGTTAATTTATTTTTCCATAAACTGTCACAAATTTGTCAATAGTCCAGAATTTTCCATCAAGATTTCAGTGAAAAAAGAAATTAGAAAAAAAATCAATTTGTTTTTTAAGAAACGATTTTTTTTTAATTCTTAAGTTCACCAAGTTTTGAAATGAACATTCTAAGCACCAATTTAAAAAAAATGTCCTTTTATCAGATGCATCTGTCAGTAAATAATAATTTTAATTTAATCTAATTTAATTAAATTTTGGAATTAATTAAGATTTTGCACCATGACATATGAACAAGTGCAAAGAATCCCACCTTGTTCTTAAGCCTTGCTCTTTAACTTATTGCTGAAAAATTAGAAAAATAATTTTTTTTAAACTGACGTCTTAAAATACAAATTAAATTTTCCGTTAATTATTTATTAAATAAATTATTTTTCAAATGAATAATAATCTATCAACACTTCCAATATATGCTGGCTATGCAATTAGACTAATTTTTTTAGCACAGTAAACAATTCATTCGTGTCCTATTGTCTTGCTGAAAGAGACTGTTTTTGAGCAAAATAATAGTCAGTTCTGTTTGTATGTTTGCAGACTTCAAAAGAGAGCTTTCATCAGGATGTTTTTAAATTCATTTTAAAGGCATGTCTTTCAAATAAGAATGAGTCTCTATTTATAAGATGACGAGCAAACATTATGCTAAGACTAACATTCTCATTTTTGTTGTTATAATATTTCAGAGTTTGTGCCATCCTGCTTTCTTCAGGTATTGGTCAATCTGAACAATTTAAATGGAATTTTTGAATCCTTCATTTAGTTTACAAATGTAGATTGTTCTCATTCTCCTGTTAATGTATAGGGATATCTTGTCTTCTTCTGTTTTAGTATATAGGGATACAAGAGGTGATTATCTCCCTTTAGTTGAGATGGAATCATGTGGGTTATGTGATGGCTACTTAGTGATGTCACAGAGTGACAGAGTTCAATGCTTGAGTCAGCTTTGAGGAGTCAAACAGAGTAGTTGCTTCTTTTAGCATGGGCAAGGAGCTTGCCTCATCTAGATGGAGACTAAATCTGCCTACCCCAGCCTTCTTGAATCTGGAATCCTAAATATGGCTTCACCAGAAACACAGAAGAATCTCTGGCAGCTCCAGTTGAGAATTATTATTACATGTAAGACTTTCTTTTCTTTTTCTCTGCTTGTTTTTGCATACATGTTATAGTTTCTCTGTGTGTGACATGGGTAAATATGGATATATAATTTCGGATATCGCTTACTAATATGTGATATTATTATCACCCATTAAGTACTTTTCTGTTACTCAGTGAAATCAGGGATAACATTAGCAGAGTAGGAATGGATATTAATAGGTAGACTGCTTTTCACATCAAAATTTGTAAAAATTTGGCTCAAATGGTATCAAAGAACTTCTTGACAAGCAACAAGAAGTCATTTCAAATAACGGTGAATATATAATTGAATAAAATGTAATTGCAGTTTATTATTTGAAAAATACAGTTAATAAACAAAAACGGAAATTATTTATGACTCAAACTAATATTATAAGGCAATCAAATGAAACAATAATTTGAGATCAGTTTAAAAGGATCAAATTCAGGCTCAAAATATAGAACATTGCTTATATCTCTATTTGATGTGGAAAACTTTCTCTAATGAAAACCAGCTGTAAATGTTTGTTGACAAATTTTACATCAAAACCTTTGTAACTTTAATCAAAGGTTATCGAAGATTCCCTGATAAGTGGCAACAAATCATTGCAAATAATAATGCATATATAATAATATATAATTGAAAAAAATGTAATTATACTTTATTTTTTAAGAATAAAGTTGATAAACAAAAACAAATATTATTTATGGCTCAATGTGCATTAGAAACTTGACTCATTTCTTGAAATAAAAATTTATATCTCCGAGGATGATTGTGAACCAATACTAGAAACTCATAGGTTATTGCTGTAATGTGAATGCAAGCATCTTTGGTCAAAACTCAAGCCTCAGTTCAATGATTGTGTTTACTGATAAATGTTGCACCCCTCCATACCTTGATACTAACAGATATTTAAGTATGTTTGGTAAATAAATCTCACATCATTTCACCCACACAATCATACACTGTTCAAGAAACAAAAAGTAGAACTGCAAAATGATAAGTAAGCTTTTGTCTCAAATGAACCCCCAGAAATGAAAAAAAAAACAAAAAACAAAACATGGTCTATAGGAAAGAAAGTTCTTTAAAACAGACATTTTATACATTTATTTAAGGTCTCATTCTATTTACCCAAGGAATTTGCTACACTGCTTATATCTTGTGGGTTGGGCTTGGTTTATTGTGATAGGGATTCTGGTATAAGACAAAACAAACCACCAGAAGCTCATAAAAGAAACAGTCTTACTGCCATATTGTCTTTAACTTTTCTTCTTTCATTGCCACAGTTCCCTTTAAATGAGTGGCTTTCTAACATAAAAGTAAATGTTTGAGATAATGCTGCTGCTTGTATGTCTCCTTTTTGCTTTTTCTTTTGCTTGTTAGTTTGTCATTAAAAAAAAAAAAAAAAAAAAAGAAGCCTCCAGAGGCATATAACTGAATTCTGGTTAGAAATCTATCCACTTAACAGAAAATGGCAATATCTACATTGTTTGGTTATGCCCTTATCCTCAAAGGTATTCAACATTTTTACACAAACTTTTGCTATTAAAAATGATTCATTATTCATACAAATGAGAAATAAAAATACACCTGAGAATGCAAACCATGCTTGTTTTAAGTGTAGGCACAAGCTTAGCATGCTGGGTGCTCAAAATAAAATCCAGTAGAAAAGAAAAGGACATTTATATGTAGCCTCAGAAAGAGATAGTTGAAATTCTTAGGGTATGTAATGAGGAAAGAAGGTTTAAAACATTTGAGATGTATAAAACATATTAAAAGGCAAGAGAGACAGAGAAAAACAACTCATAACCTACATAATGAGTTTGTGTAAATGGTTATAACAGGCATTAGAAAATACAGAAAAAAAAAAAAAAAATATATATATATATATATATATATATATATATATTACTCAGGGCTACAAAGGATAGGAAATTGTGTAGAACCCTGAAGGGACATGGCACACAGAAGAAGATACAAACTTTCTTTAAACATATTTACCCCTAATTTTTCTTATTATATACTGAAATTTTCTTTTTATATGCCAAATCCTTTCAGCATATAGAATAGACATCTCAATGACTCTTTTGTTTTTTTAAATCATTTTACCCCAAGCAAGACAATAAAGCCTCTAAAATCAAGAGGTTACTGAGTGTTAGAGAATATGAGTTAAACTACTATTAAGGAGAGAGAACAATAAAAGAATAAGAATTAAGAAGACAGAAGACAACAATTGACATTGCATTCAATTGAAAGCTGACTGTGAAGCAAGAACCTGGAGGAGAGTTCCACCAGTGAGAAATGTGATAGAAGAAACTATTATCATAGAAGTTACAGTTACATCTAGCCAATTCAACTGTAAAACGATGAGACCTTACCGCCAATCTAATACTGCACTTAAATTCATAAAGTTTAGGTACTAAAAAAGGAAAGTTCATCAGAACAATTACTATGAAAGTATATATGTTATCGTAGTGGGAAAGTAACTGAAGCTGAAATGCTAGGTCAGAACCAATAATATTGCAGATTCTTTGTATTTTATCATATTATTATATAGTAAAAATTGTAAATAAAAACTCAAAATACTTGAAGCTATTTTTATAAATCTTAATGTTTAATTTTTATAAATCTAATGTCATTGTGGCTTAGTCAACTAAAAAAAGTGAAATGGTTATTAAAGGCTTTATTTTATACTGTATTAAAAGATTTTACCAATTCTACTAGTTTGGTTACTTTGAAATATCTTTTTCCATTTTTTAGGTTTCAGTGCTAATTCTTGCTCAATTACAAATTAAAATTTTATGTTGCTTAGAAAAGAAAATTGTGTTTTCCGCTATATCCAGGCACAGAATCCTATCCATAATACCAGGACAGTGGTGCCTAGTTTGCTATGCAAATACATTGTAAATTGATCCCCATTGAAGCTAGAACAAAATACATGTTCATTCTGTTGTTTTTTAAAATGTAAAAATTTTTCTAAAAAAATGGAAATTTGTAATCTCAAGTTCTCTTTTTCATATATTACTATCAATTAACAATTCTTGATTACGTGTTTCAAAAAGATTTTACTTTTTTAATTTTTAAGACATTATGTCAAGTGAGTGTATTTCTTTTGACTTGTAAAGAGGGGGATCAATTTACAATGAATTTAGATAGCAAAGTGGATCCCCACTATTAACTGTTATAAAACTTAATAAAAAAAAAAAAATTTTGGTATTCGTAATTTGGAAATTTGAAAAATTTGAAAAAAAAAAAAAAGACGATTATTTCTATTTGTAGTGCCTATTAACCAATTACACATTTTTCTTCTCTATTTATTAAACCCAAGCATTAAAAACTTAAGAAACTTGAGTATTAAGTTCTTGTCTTCCAAAATAATCAACTTGAGTCTTGGTTAGAACTTAAGTTGCTTATAAAAAAAAAAAAAAATATTGTAATTGTTTACATATTGTAGGTGAAATCTATACTTATAATATAGCAAACAAGATATTTTGGAAGTCATGAGATAATTTGAAGAAATATAAAATATCGATATCATTTTTTGGAGGTAGGTGATGAGAACAGAGTAAAAAATACACTCACTTGAAAAATTGGTAATGGAATCTACCAATGACCTATAGTACCCTTAAAGAAAGATGCCTTGCATTTCAGAGTTCAGTAAACAATGTCGTCTTTATTTTTTTTTTCTTTCTTTGGGTAGTATGTAACATGAGACTTCTCCTCAAGAAAGAAGGCTTGAGATTTTAATAAATAGAATTAGACATCATCATATTTCAC